TGCATGCATGCAAGGTCTTCATTGGTAAAAAACGATTTCAGTTATGCTAGCAATTAGCTCGTCTTTTGGTAGTATTGCATATACGAGATTTATTGAGTTATATAATGGCATAATTTGTTGTATACGTTATTGCCCGGTAAAACTTACATTTTGCATGGGATATAAAGAATCTCGAGCAACACTTGTTTTCTTTCCAAGAAAGAATATAACCACTTGTTTTAGTTTTTATATTCCCCTCGTATATATATATATATATATATGCATGAGAAAAAGGTCAAAAACTAATAATTCATTTAATATATAGTTTCGTTCGAATAATAACACTTCAAATGGTTTGGGTTCACACAAGTGCTTTAATTTACGATGGATCGATTTATTTTCGTTTCTGCCGTCTGGTTGAAATCTTTGTATTCGTTTTATTTTCTATCTATTTCGTTTGAAAGTTGGCTTTGCTTAATCAAAAGTATCCAGCACAAATTGTCAACTGAAAAGGTCTCAATGATTTCGAATCCAAACATACTTTTTTATATATATATACGAATTGGACTCTAATTATAAGCACTAAAATACGTCATTATATATATACTATAGTTAGATGAAACATATAAGCATGTGTTTGTTTTGATGTCCTTGGAAGCTTTCAGAAATATATATACACATTATATATATAAGCTAGCAATAGTGGAATTTTTTTCTTTTTTTTTTTTGAGTGGAAAAGTTAGAATGATATGATGGAAGTTGTTGTTCTTTTTGTGTGTGTGTGGATAAACATCATGTTTCCGTGACGTGATTTTTCCAAAAAAGAAATTGTTTTTAGTATTTTCTTATTTATTTTTTTATAATGATTCCATTTTTATTCGCATAATTGTTTTCTAAAGTATTTCCTTTTTGTTATTTTATAGGTAACACTATCTTATGGTGTCAAACAAGCATGTACACCATCTTCGTCCACTATCATGTATATTGTCATAGAATGTTTGGTACGCGTGCTTTTATATTTATATCCTTTTTATTTTTCTAAAGACAATTTTATAATTGTTGTTAATAACGGAAAATAGTAAACACAGTCTAATAAATACTTGAGGGTTTATGTGTTAAGAAAATATAATAAACCTAGCTAAGTGGTATTTTAATTAGCTCATACAAATCCAATTATTCACATTAGTAGAATATCAACCAACATCATAATAACCACTTAGATATAGGGCTTTAACTAATCTTATCATGGTTTTACGAGTTACTTAATCTTTTTACTATGATTTTTTTTTTATCAATTCTATGATTAGAATATACAAGTTACCAAGTCACTGTTTTTTATTTTTTTCTCTTCTGTCATGACTCGTTCACAATTTATACCATTTTAAACAACGGGCCGGTCTATAAATATTGGGCCGTTAAGTCCAACAATTAGCGAAAACAAAACGTTATGCCAATTGAAGTTTCGGGAGGCAAAACGTGTGCTGTTTTGACAACATAGAAAACTGCAACAACAAACGAGACCCTGTAAATTGCCGTGAATACCCTCACTCTCCCAACGTATTTTCGGAAAACTACCCTCTTCCTATTTCCATGGCCCTTCTCTCAGTTTTCCCGCGAGAAGTTCTCTCCTTCTTCCCTAATCATCAAAAACAAAATGCAAAATCCAAAAAATTCAAAAAAAAAAAATTTCACGACGCAACGCTACTGTCCTAACATCTCTCAATCTCTCTCTCTCTTAATGCGGAATCCGATTTAACACCGGAATCCGCCATGGAAGATGAATAAGATCCGGTCTCTCCGCTGCCTCCTCCCGGAGACCATAACCTCCGCCGCCTCTAATCGAGGATCTGACAACGGTAACCAAGTCAGCCTCCTTCTATGGCGGCATCAGATCCTCGACCCCGACAGCAACATCGTTACCTATTGGAACCACGTCTTTCTCATCACTTCGATCCTCGCTCTCTTCCTCGATCCTCTCTATTTCTACGTCCCTTACGTCGGTGGTCCGGCGTGTCTCTCCGTCGACATCAGCCTCGCCGCTACAGTCACCTTCTTCCGTACTGTCGCTGATATCTTCCACCTACTGCACATCCTTATGAAGTTCAGAACTGCCTTCGTCGCCAGGAGCTCTCGGGTTTTTGGCCGCGGTGAGCTTGTTATGGATTCTAGGGAGATCGCTATGAGATACTTGAAGACAGATTTTCTCATTGATGTAGCTGCCATGCTTCCCCTTCCTCAGGTTCGCTTTGCTCACTTCTTTTGTCTCTTAAAATGTAGCTTCGAAGAAATTGGTATTTCTAGATTAAGAGTTTTCGATTAGAGCTTCAGAACGACAACTATGTTTTAGGGATTCCAACAGTATTCTAATTTAGAGGAGCCATGATTTTGGAAAAACTCATGAGCTTAACTTGTATTGAATTCTGATATCTCCATTTTTTTCCAGTGGAAGAATTGAACCTCTAAATGCAAATACTGATAGTTTCTATGGATTTATATATTAGTCTGTGTTCATAGAGGAACTTAAACGCTTAAGAGTATGGTCTAGCTAGGATTAAAGAATAGAGATATACATCTGTTTTACTATAATGGGAGGAGCCTCATGCTTGTTCTGACTATCTTTTGATCTCAGCTTGTTATTTGGCTAGTAATTCCAGCAGCCACAAACGGGACTGCTAATCATGCCAATAGCACTCTCGCACTTATCGTTCTTGTTCAATACATTCCAAGATCATTTATCATATTCCCACTCAACCAAAGGATCATAAAAACTACTGGGTTTATTGCCAAAACTGCTTGGGCAGGAGCTGCATACAACCTCCTCCTCTACATTCTCGCTAGCCACGTAAGTTTTCTATGTCTCTTGTGTGTTTCTCTCTAGATTTTTTTCGGCTAAGTTGTAAAGATTCTCAATTTATTGGCAGGTTTTAGGAGCAATGTGGTACCTATCATCAATCGGGCGGCAGTTCTCGTGCTGGTCTAACGTTTGCAAGAAAGATAACGCCCTGAGAGTTTTAGATTGTCTTCCTAGCTTCTTGGACTGCAAGAGTCTGGAGCAACCTGAGCGCCAGTATTGGCAGAACGTTACTCAGGTTCTTTCTCATTGCGATGCTACAAGCAGCACTACCAATTTTAAGTTCGGTATGTTTGCTGAAGCCTTTACCACTCAAGTTGCTACAACAGATTTCGTTTCCAAGTACTTGTATTGTCTTTGGTGGGGTTTGAGAAATCTAAGGTATGACAACCTTTGAACCAACAAATTTCTAGTCTCTATCTTAGATTGTCTTCCTCTGTCTCTAACACCATTTTGGTTTCACAGTTCTTATGGCCAGAATATAACCACAAGTGTATATCTTGGCGAGACCCTGTTCTGTATTACAATTTGTATCTTTGGGTTGATTCTCTTCACACTCCTTATTGGTAACATGCAAGTAAGATTCAAAGCTATTCATGAGACTGCACAACTTTTCAATACAGAGACAATTTTTTTTGTCTTTCTAATCTTGATTTTTAACTTGGTGGAAAGTCTTCTTTACAATCGATGTCTGTAAGAGTTGAGGAATGGAGAGTTAAGCGAAGAGACACTGAAGAATGGATGAGACATCGTCAACTACCTCCAGAGCTTCAAGAACGTGTCCGTAGATTTGTTCAATATAAATGGCTTGCAACCCGAGGTGTCGATGAAGAATCAATCCTCCATTCTTTACCTACAGACTTACGCCGTGAAATCCAACGTCATCTCTGTCTCGCTCTTGTCCGCAGGGTATATAGTTCATCAACTCTATCCTCATAACAACTATTGTGGGTTTGATTGTTTTCCAATTTAGAAATCATACGGTTTTCCTAAGTGCAGGTCCCATTCTTCTCTCAAATGGATGATCAACTTCTTGATGCAATATGCGGATGCCTTGTCTCGTCTTTAAGCACGGCGGGGACCTACATATTCCGTGAAGGTGATCCTGTGAATGAGATGCTATTTGTGATCCGAGGACAAATAGAGAGCTCAACAACAAATGGAGGAAGATCTGGTTTCTTCAACTCCACTACTCTAAGGCCTGGAGATTTCTGTGGGGAAGAGCTTCTTACATGGGCTTTAATGCCAAACTCTACACTAAATCTTCCGTCTTCAACTCGAAGTGTCCGCGCCCTCTCTGAAGTGGAAGCCTTTGCCTTAAGTGCAGAGGATCTTAAGTTCGTTGCTCATCAGTTCAAGCGTCTTCAAAGCAAAAAACTGCAACACGCTTTCAGGTAAACCATACATGGGATTCTTCAAGAATCATTCTTGTGATATGACGATCCAGAACAGAGCAAAATCAAATTTCATATGTTCATTTTTCAGGTACTATTCACATCAGTGGAGAGCATGGGGAGCATGTTTCGTCCAATCCGCATGGAGAAGATACAAGCGAAGAAAGCTCGCAAAAGAGCTCAGCCTGCACGAGAGCAGCGGATACTATTACACAGACGAAACAGGTTACAATGAAGAAGATGAAGAAACTGGCGAATATTACTATGGAAGCGACGGTGAGGATATCGAAGGCGTATCAATGGACAACACAAACAATAATCAAAATCTAGGAGCAACAATCTTGGCATCTAAATTTGCGGCAAACACAAGAAGAGGCACAAATCAAAAGGCTTCAAGTAGTAGTACTGGTAAGAAAGATGGATCTTCAAACAGTCTAAAGATGCCTCAACTATTCAAACCAGATGAGCCTGATTTCTCAATAGACAAAGAAGATGATTAAAATTTGTAAGTGTAGAATTTTGGGGGACAAAAGCTTTTGTGAAATGTTTGGTTTTAGATGGTAAATAGTTAGGAACCCCATAATTATTTCAACTTCAAACTCTTTTTTTTTTTTTCGTTACGGTTTGAGGATGTTAGATATAGCAAAAGAGGTAGAGTAAACAATACATTGTTCTTTTAATGTCTTAAATGTTATACTATATGATTTTTTTTTTCTCATATATATAGGATACTGCATTCGGATACAAACTCACTGTGAGATCATTTAAATAAACAATAAGGTGATAGCAACTTTGTGAAATTGATCATGCTCAGTGGAAAATAAGAACAGTCTCATATTGGCACACCACTGCTCTGAACGCAATTGGAATGTTTGAAACTGTCCAAATATATTATTTCAACTGAGCTAGGCGTTTTAAAATGCAGTACAAACCGGTTCGGTACTTCGGTTATCCAATCCTCTCAAGCTATTTGTTCTCAATAACACCATTTGGCTCTCTACTTACGCATAAATCTTCAAGAAGAGAATTCAAATTCTTCCAAGACGAACCAGTCTCTGGAGCTGAAGCTTTTTTTGCCATTTCCGCATACTCTTTCACATTCTTCCTTGCGGTCTTCCCCATCTCTCCTTCCATTAATTCTTTAACCTATATTGTACCCACAGAAAAAAAAAAAACCAACAACTAGAATTAGTGCCATCATGCATAATCTAATATTAGATTCATTGAAAGCATTTTGATAAATATACCTTTCGACTAAGTTCTTCTTTTCTCACGAGCCCTTTCACACGTCCATCTTCAGTTTCGATTCCTACACCGATCTTAAGCTCCTCTACTACCATCTTTGCATTGAGCGGCTGCTCGGCCATCATTGGCCAAGCGAGCAGCGGGATCCCGGCACAAATACTCTCTTGTGCCGAGTTCCATCCACAATGGCTCAAAAACCCTTTGACACTTTCATGCGACAATATCTCCCATTGGTCTACCCAATCTCGCACTATCAAACCATGCTCTTTCACGAGCCCTAATCCTTCAGTTACTCCATTCAAATCCTTTCTCGTGACCCACAAGAAATCCACCTTCATCAAACAATCAAGACCACGTATATCAAAAAAGTATTTCTCTTTGTAAAATATTGTATGTCTAATTTAACGCTAACCAAATCTTGAATGTTTTAATTCGAATTCTAAGTTAAAAGTTGAATACGTTATAATACTCGCAAAACAATTTGTTATCATACCAACAAATAAATACTCCTATAATGACGAGTATAGCACGGATAATAAAAATTAATATCATCATTAATCCATTCTTTAATAACGTATACCTTGGAATCTGCCAACCCTAATGTTATTTCCTTGAGCTGCTCGTTTGATATCTCAGCCTGTGTTCCAAACGCCACATACAAAACCGGACGTTGTTCCTCTAGCTTCCGGTCCAACCAATCAATCCAATCCGGTTTATTACTCTCGGGTTTAGGAGGATTTGCCAAACACAAAGGCCCAACACACCATGGCTTGGGTTCATTTTTATCACGGATCTTGAAGTCAACGAACGCTGTCTCGAGCTCGTAGAAACTGTTCACTATAACCCCGCGGCTCTTAATCGTGGACAAAATATGGTCCATTAGTAGCTCAAATGCTGGACCCGATTGATCCGAGGTTAAAACCGGGTCAAACTCGCACTTCTTAACGCGGATCCATGGAAAGTCCGGTACAGTAACCAGTTCGGTATCGGATTTAACACTTTCCGGTTTAGTAAAGAGTTGGTGAACCCAAACGGATGATGATATAGCCGTTGCGTACGAGTTCATGCCGTAGAAGGAGAGTCTGGGGATGTCAAATCTAGCGGCGGACTCCGATGTCCACCATAGGAAGCCATCGGTGACCATGAAAGACACTTGAGGAAGATTCTGAAGCGCTGCTTCGAAGAGAGGCTGGAGAGACTTGGTTGCGCGAGTGAAGGGCACGTAGAGGGACATGGAAGGGAGCATGTCGGTGCTCTCTACGCCGGGAGGGATTCCGGCGATGTTTTCAGGGAAAGGGAGGGAGATTACTTTGACTGATGGTGATGCCACGTCGGAGAAGAAATTTGAGACGAATGGTTGGTTTTTTGGTGTGGTGAAGACGGTGACGGTAATGGTTGGTTGCTCGTCGCCGTCGTAGCTGGGGACGACACGGCGGTGATGGAGGAGGAGACGAGCGAATTGGAGGAGAGGAATCGTGTGGCCTTTGGACATGTAAGGGAAGAGAACCACATGATGTGGTGATGATGAAACGGCCATTTTTTTATGTTTTGCATTCTTGACGTCGGGTGGGTTAATCACAAGACTATCTTTATAGGTCGAATTACGGATTAATTGTAATTCCAAGGTTGTGTTTGACTTGGTGGTTCCAAAAAGCAAAGTAGGTTTCATATAGTACGTACTACTCCGAACTCCGAAGTCCAAATAATCAACCATTAGAAAACATTGTTTACCAATAGACTAAATGAAAGTTTGAAACTAATGTAAATACTAAACTGTGTATAGGGCAAATGAGGGCAAATGAGGGCAAATGTCATATTTTTATTAGGCACCGTCTCTGCATGCCTATATGCAATTTAATTAACGAATAATTGGATTTATAGTACATTTCTCAAACATATTATGCAAACTGATACGTTTCCTATTCAATATTAGTAAAGTAGTCACTTTCTACAGTACATCATTGTTTCTCTGTCCATTATACCATTCAAAAACTTGATTATTTACGGATCTATGCCATTCTAAACAGTTACTACTCTTTTTTTTTTCCCTTCTCTCTCTTCGTACGTACGCTCACATTTTTTTTCTTTTTACTTTTTTCTTTTATGTTTTTTTTCTTTTTATATTATCCCCCTTCAATCTAAAAGTTATAATACTATTCCATAAAAGTAATATTTTTTTAAAAAAAATTCACATATATTAAAACCTAAATTTTTCTCTATTATTTGATATGCATTTTGCTAAATGATTTTATTTGATGATGTCAAATAATTTTTTCAGATTTTAGATCTGTACAACTTGATAAATGTACATATTATCTGTAATCTATACAACTTAATAAATGTACAAATTACATATGTACAATTTATTATATGTACAGATGTAATTTGTACAACTTATTAAGTGTACATTCGGAAAACTTACTAAATGTATAAGTATAGTGTAATACACACAATTTAATATATATATTTCATTACTGTATATATATATATATATATATTAATATACAAATTTTCATTCGTGTAGCAGAACTACTGTACAACAGAACCACTGTACAGAAGAACTATTGTACATCAGAACTACTGTACTGCAGAACCATTGTACAGAAGAACCACTGTACAGAAGAACCACTGTACAAAAGAACCAATGTACACCATAATAATGTACATTTCAACCATTGTACAAAATCACGGCTTTCGGCGCCATTGCTTACACTACAACTAATGTACAAAACCATCACATACAACATAGTGTTGTACATATAGAGAATGGAAATGTATACTCCTCCGTTTCACAAAGTGTGTCATTTCATAGTTTTATTTTGTACATGCATTATTTTGTATAGATTTCTTCTGTACAGTTATCTATATCTGTACAAACGTTTATGTACAATGATCTATAAATGTACATACATTTTTGTGTACAGTTGTATCAAACTAAAACATTAAGCCATAAACATCCGTGTAATAAATTGTACGCATAAAATATGCATGCAATGTATTTGAAACTATTAGCAGTTGTACATATATAGCTTAAATTGTACATATACTATATGTACATACATTCTTATGTACAAACATCTTTATGTACAGTGATCTATATGTACATATAATTATATATATTTAGACTATTATACAAAATTTTGAAATTATTTAACAAAATGCATATCAAACTATAGAGAAAAAAACATAGATATTTTTGCATGTGAAGAAAAATTAGAAAAAAAAATTACATTGGCAAATATCATAATTAATAAACTGAAGGGGTATGTAATGAATAAGATAAAATAAATAATTAATTAAAAAATTTATTATTTTTCTTTTCTACCCAAAACTAATTGAGAGTAACGAGAGTTGAAGAGAAGGAGATGAGGGAACCCATTTTCGTCTTTACCCATATCCTGCCTTACCCCACCTTATTTTCTATCTCTCACTCTTCTTATCTCATGCACAGTGTTTTACACCCATTTCACAAATTGTAAATAGTATTTGTACTATATTACTAATTACTTTCTAAAAATGTATTATAATGCCAACCTACCCTTTAATTAATGACAGATTTTGGATATGTGTCAGTTTCATGCGTAAGTAAAGTTTTAGTAACGCTTGTTCTACGTCAGATGCTTACCTAAAGTAACGTCCATACGAGTTGTATAACTCTTTGTAGAAGATAGCAATGCCTCGGAAAAAACAAAAAAAGAGAGAGCATAAACTAATGAAACAAACTGATAATCTCCAAAAGATCTACACAAATTTTGCTTTTTTTTTTCTTTTTTTTTTGTGAAAACTAAACAAATTTTGCTTTTTAATTGATGTAATTTACATGTTGATACTACTGATAAGTACTATTTTATATAGTTCTTCATTATAATGTTCATTTATGATTTCGTGCTTGATTTAACATCTTTACGTATAGTCATGCTTTTGGCAGGAATAGGTGTATGTCATATGTTGCTACTTGCTAGTCATAACGTAGGTTCAGTTAAAGCTATATCGTGTGAGTAAGGCTTTTAGGCCATTCTTTTTTGCAAATAAATAATTTTAATCGTCGAACTGTATTATATTATAGGGAAAATTCCATAAAAATTTCCCATCTAATTTTAATTTGGAAGTTTAATACCCAATGTTATTTGGTTGGAAACAAAATGCATGGTTTATTAATTTGTTGTCTATTAATACATCAAGTATATAAAAATTGTCGAATCGAAGAAACCGCTTAACAAACGGTAATCGGATTGACGGAATCACTAAACCGGGGTTAATGGAATTACACTAAACTTAGGGTTTATCGATCCCAATTCGATTTGGGATAATAGCAAAAGACAATGCAGTCTTTGGATAACCCCAAATTACCCGTGTGTTTAGAGATTAGTAATTTCGTCAACCTCGGTTTAGTTATTCCGTCAATCCAATTAAACGGTTTATTCGATTCGACAATTTTTATATACTTAATGTATTAATAGACCAAAATTTAATAAATCATGCATTTTATTTCCAATCAAATAACATTAGGTATTAAACTTCCAAATTAAAATTAGATGGAGAATTTTTATGGAATTTTCCCTTATATTATATTAAAGATGGGCCTAAATAATCCAGAGCCCATCAAATATTGGATAGCTGAGCGAAGTGAATTAACCCAATAATGTGTCTGGTAAATGCCAAATGGTAATGTCAAAACTGTAAACAAAAACATTTTTCCTTCGATGGAAATAAGGAAGCGGAAGAACGCCGGCGGCGATGGAGACGGTGGCGCGTCAGTTAACGACGTCAGCGATCCCAATTCGTTCAGTGGTGTATCTAGATCTCCGAGAAATATATTCTTGTTGTGCCTCGCGTTTCGTGTGGTAAATGCTCTGTTGATTCAGACTTATTTCAATCCTGATGAACATTGGCAATCACTTGAAGTAGCTCACCGCACTGTCTTTGGGTAATGTTTCTAATCTATTAGTTTTTGAATTTTACTTTGCCTTTTGGTTGAATGTTAAGTTGTATTCGTGGGGAATTGTTTGAGCTGGGATCATAAGTGTTTCTCTTACTCTAGCATGATCTGTGTTAGTGTCAGCTTCGTCACGGGAGCATAAGTCACATAGGAGAAGTTCGAATTTTGACGTGGTTTTTAGTAGTCAGTGATTTCAGCAATGAATGCCATTTTAACTTGGTTGATTGATTGATGATAATGATAGGTATGGTTACATGACATGGGAGTGGAAGAGAGGAATACGAAGCTATTTGCATCCTATGGTATTCGCATTCTTGTATAAAGTTCTACAAGTTACGGGTCTCGATACTCCCTACATAATGGTCAGTATACACAATGTGTTGTTGTTACTTTTTCATGCTGCTAGCTTATTTGGTTTAAAGAAGCAGAACCTGGTAGCATTGATTCTGAATGTGGCTTTTCTTCGAAACCCTTCTCAATTGAACAAGTTTCAAATTTTGTTTAAATGTAGTAGTGGCCTAGTGGGGGTTGCCTTTGACTTTGGTTTCGTAGTTCTGGCTCTCACCGTGTTCATACAGAGGTTAATAGAATGGTTTATGTGTTACAACTTTTTCCTTTCTTGGCAGAGGAAAGCTCCACGTCTCATGCAATCCGTATTCTCAGCTATTGGTGATCTCTATCTGTATAAACTCTCAGATGCTCTATATGGAGAAAATGTTGCAAGTTGGTCTGTATCCTTTCTATACAGTAAATAGTAAGCAATTGCTTTATATTTTTGTATGATAATGTCAATGAATTTGCAACCCGTGAGGTCAAGATTAGCCTTGGTTGATAAAGAAAAAACATTATCTTCAATAATGGAGCCAACCCACCATTACATTATATTTGATAGTTCCCTACGTAATGATATGTCGGTGTAACCGGAAGGGTGTTAGATATCCTGTGAAATAAGTCTATTAGTTGTTTCTATGAGAACTTAATTCTTTCTCGATTTGTATTTGCATTTTATTCTGGATTGCTTCCCTAACTTTTTAGTAGCTCTTTTGTCAAATGGCAAACTGGTTTGTCTTCTTCTGTTTGAACCGTACCTTTTCAAACTGTTTGGAGACTGTTCTTACCATCATGGGGCTATATTACTGGCCTTGTATAAGAAATAATTCAACAGACTATCCCGTTAATCGCAAGTGGGGTTTGGTCATAGCGGCTCTAGCATGTGCCATAAGGCCAACAAGTGCAATCATATGGTTATACGTTGGGATGCTCGAGCTATTTTTGACACCTGATAAGGTCAAATTCGTCATTCTAGAGGTGATCCCGATTGGGTAAGTTTAACTCTGCAGCTAAGCTCTTGAATTTTCATTTTAATGTTTGCTTTGGAAGATTTCGTTGTGCTAACTTGCTTCTGGTGTTAGATCTATGGTCCTCAGTTTCACCTGTTTGTTGGACCGTCTGATGTACAGCTCCTGGGTCATTGTGCCTCTCAATTTTCTGAAGTTTAATTTCCTTTCATCTGGTGGAGACTATTACGGAACTCACCCATGGCACTGGTACTACAGCCAGGGATTTCTTGTCATGCTTTTCACTTTTACACCATTCTCAATTACTGGAATGATCAAGTCTAAGAATCGGAAGCTTTCAGCTCTTATTCTATGGGTCTTAGCAGTATACAGCTTACTTGGCCACAAGGAATTCAGGTAATATGAATGTTTTCTTACACTTGCCATATCCAAAACCTTGCAAGGATTATCCTTTCAACATGAATTATGTTTTCCTTGTCGTCTACTTAGATTATGAATGATAGGTTTGTCCTGCCTGTGCTACCCATAGCTTTGATATTCTCTGGGTATGCGTTTGCGCAAATGGAAGTATCTGGCTCAGCATCATCATCAGTCACTAAAAAGAAGCAAGTCCCTCGACAGAACCATACCATCAAGTGGTCTCCTAAACTAAGACTTTCAGTCTTTTTTTTGCTTGTTACCAATATCCCAATGGCACTATACATGAGTTTATTCCATCAGGTAAAAATCCCAATCACCTGAGTGCTCTCTCTTGTCTCTAATTTCCAAGTTTACGCTCTCTCTATTTAGGCTATATAAAGGAATGTGTTGTTTCCAACAGAGAGGAACTGAGGATGCCATGAACTACTTATCAGATGAAGCATACAAAGGGAGAGTAAAGAGCATTCTCTTTCTCATGCCGTGCCATTCTACTCCCTATTATTCCACTCTCCACCACAACATTCCTATGCAATTTCTCGACTGCACGCCAAGGTAAAGGATCACCCCCCTGAGTGGCAGCTCTTGCTTCTATGTGACTCTTAAGGATTCTTCTTGTTCTTTTTTCTCAAACAGTGAAGAGAAGGGAGAACTTGATGAGTCAGACCGGTTCTTAGTGAACCCTTTGGGTTTTGCATCAGAGTTAGCCAGAAACTGGTCAGAGCCGCCTAGTCACATTGTATTATTTGCATCAGAAGAAAGGAAACTCAGAAATTTCATGATCCAACATTCCTTTAAAGAGGCAAGTTAGAAGCAAGAACACACCTTTTAAAAAAACCATTTGGGACTTTACCCGCTTTCTTTCTTTATTTTGCATTTGTAGACTAAATATGTTTTGTTTGTGATAAAACAGGTGAAAAGATTTTTCCACGCGCACTTCAAGGTTGATAGAGATCTTCAATCCTCAGTGGTCGTCTTTGTTGTAAACCACACATAGTTGTAAGAGTAGCAGCCTCAAGGTTCTTATAATCATTAGCCATGATCAGGCTATGGAATCTATCTGAACTCCTCTGTCTCAAAATTAAACACATGGTTGTCCCTTAGTCTTATTTCGGTTATCTTCTACCGTTTTAATTCCAGTCTGTCCAGGTTATATGTTTCAACAGGGAAACAATGAGAGTTATACAGAGATAGAACATTTGTGTAATTTGTGACTAGTTAATTTCTACGATGACAGATATTCTTAATCACACTCTTTTTCCCACAAGTATTATAAACAGAATCGTTATTTCAGTACAAAAAAACTGTTGATTCAATCTGAGCTAACGACCTCATGAATCATAATTTCAAATAAGCTCGATGATTGGTTATCTTACTAATCTGTGAGCAGCATTCCATCCGGATAAAACAGATATTTCTCAATGAGAAAGAAATGGAGTACAATACTATATCAAGCTCATAAGTCTTTTGCCACTCAAAGACAAAAGAAAGCAGATTGGTCTCATTGACTCATACTATCATTTACTGCTGTCATTGACTGTAATATAGTACAAAATATGGGGTTGTTTTGGAAATTAAATGGGGTAGATAAACTAAAGATGAAACCAAACAGTACAATCTCTCTCAAGACTTTGGCTCACTCGTGCTAGTTGTATTTGCTTCCCCAAATAAGATTGAATAATCAGAGTAGCCATTCACCATACTGAGCTTATACCTTCGTGGTTGTGAATGAACTTGAATATGTTGTTGGCCCATTAAGTCTTGGACTCTGTTTTGACAAGTGACTTAAACTCCAAAGCTAACAAAAAAAAAAAAGTGATTAGAAGCAATGCTACTTTCTCATTGGTTTGTAGTTTGTACGAAGAGAAAGGACAGAGAAAACAGGTTCGTATGTAGAAACACATTAAATGTGTTCTGCTGCCATTGCATTCTCCTACTTTTTTTGATCTTGTGAAGAATTCAATCTCTGAAACCTTTTCTTCCTAAGAGTAGAGAAGAGAGCCCTTTGGACTCAGTCAGAATAGCTACTTTCTTGGTAAGAATCTCTTCTCTTTGTTCCCATTTTCCAATGTCTCTTACAACTTCGTAGCTTTCATACTTTTTTCCTAATTGATATGCTCAATTTTTCTCTCTCTCATAGATAGTTCTTAAACGTTCTCCATGGCTTCTGGTGATGTGCTTCCTCGTTTCTTCAGTGTTTTTCTTTCCCAGTACAGCTCCGACTCCTTTGTAAGTTTCTTCTCTATGTCTTAGCTCAAGAAAGTGAAGAGCAAGTTTATCAAATATGTTTGAATGTGTTAAACTACTGTCAAAAGTATAGAGTAGCTTTTCTCTGATGTTGAAAAAAGTGGCAGAAGAGGCTTTGCTCATTTTTTTTCTCTGTGTTGAAAGCCTTTGTTGCAGACAGCGTCTTCTAGTATATGTTTTGTTGCAGATCTGTTAATTTTAACAGATTAGTTTTTGTTACATTTTGTGTTGAACAGCTGATACCAAGTTCGTACTATGAACACTTACCACGTCGGTTGCCCAAGAATGCGATTCTCATGGGAACAGGTGGGAAAATCTGGAAAGTAGCAATGAAGAGCCAGCGAGGGCAAGTGTACTTTGAAGAAGGCTGGGCCAACTTTGTGGCGGATAACGAGCTTAAAGATGGAGAGTTCTTGACATTTGTGTTTGATGGTTACAACCGTTATGAAGTGAGCATATATGGTCACGGAGGTTGCAAGGAAACTCGAGCAGCCATTGAAGTGGAAGACATCTCTGATGACGAGACAGAGAGTGACAATAGTGGCGAATCTTTTGTTAGTGTCACTCACGTGTAAGAAACTAATGATGAGAGTGACACGAACTAGGCTCTCTTTTGTAATATGGATCAAGACTAGGCTCCTCTAATGTCGTTTTCGAAACCAATTCAGCTAAATCAGAGTGAATCGTTCTGCTCTGTCCAAATCACTCTTAATGTGCCACAGAAAACATCTAAGTTGTCGAGCTCAGCTCAGCTCTAGTTTCTGCTCTTCTTCAAACCTCAGTGGTCCTCTATGCTAATACTGACTAAACTTCGTGTCGTTTTGTATTAACCTTTACATTTTGATAGCCGAGAAAACGCCATGATGTTGTAGTGTGTAAACGTGAACGATACAGATGTCGAATTCCGTGTAACTGGGAAATACTGATTCGGCCTCGTATACTAATGAGACACGTAGTCACTTGAACTGATCTACTCGTGACTCTTCACTTCTCTAAGATAGTGCTAAATTTTTTGAACCTGAACTTAACCCTAAATCCTCCTATCACTTAATCCGTAAATCTCGAATGGAGATTCTTCCGATTCCGGCGGAGAGCTTTAAGGTAGGATTCATCGGGGCTGGTAAAATGGCTGAGAGTATAGCTAGAGGTGTGGTTGCCTCTGGTGTGCTTCCTCCTAATCGTATCTCCACCGCCGTTCACTCCAATCTCAACCGCCGGGATGTCTTCGAATCCTTCGGCGTCAATGTCTTCTCCAATAGCGAAGACGTAAGTCAATTCCTTCTTCTTCACCTTTCATCCATGCTCTTGTGGAGTAGAGTGAAACTATACTGAAACTGATGAATGAAAAACAAAAAATGGCAGGTTGTTAAAGAAAGCGATGTTGTTATATTCTCTGTCAAACCCCAAGTTGGTATTAGTTCTTACCCCTCTCCATTGAAATCAATGATCCATTCATCGATGAAGTTTTTGTGTGTGTTTACTTTTCTTAAGCTGTAACTTTCATATGGCAGTTAAGAAGGCTGTCACGGAGTTAAGATCGAAGCTTTCAAAGAATAAGATTCTGGTTTCGGTTGCAGCTGGAATCAAGTTGCAAGATCTACAGGTTTTGCCTTTTTCTACTCTTATAATAGGCTCACATTTATCTTCTGTCACTTTCTATGTTGTTCGATTGTTAATTTTTTTTAGCATCAAACATGTTTTTCTATAGCTCCATTTGGTTAAAACTCTTAGAGGTCTCTTTTATCTTGTTTTAGGAATGGTCTGGTCAAGATCGATTTATAAGGGTGATGCCTAATACACCTGCTGCAGTTGGTGAGGCAGCTTCAGGTATATATATAATTAGAGTGTTCGTATTTTTTGCTATTTCTGGATTTTCTTTGTGATTTCTACTTCTATCAGAAGCTATCAAACAAAAAAGTAGTTATAAGCCTGTTTTGTTTCTGTCTATAGTTATGAGCCTCGGCACAGGAGCAACAGAAGAGGATGGAGCAATTGTCTCTAAGTTGTTTGGCGCGGTTGGGAAGATATTGAAAGCTGATGAGAAAATGTTTGATGCTGTCACTGGTCTCAGGTGCATAAAAACACTGCAGCTTCTGAAATGCTTTTGTTGTTTTTATCCAAGTCATTTATCAAGTAATCTTAAAACATTTTTCGATTCTTTTACAGTGGAAGTGGACCAGCATACATATTCTTAGCTATTGAAGCTTTAGCTGACGGAGGAGTAGCTGCTGGTCTACCACGAGAACTCGCATTGGGTTTAGCATCACAAACTGTTAGTGAACCAACCCACATCGCTTCTTATAATGGTATGGAATAACCGAAAGTAGAAAGAGAAGCCTCAGCTTTGTGGGATTTTCTATTGCTTGACAGGTTCTTGGAGCTGCAACAATGGTGAGCAAAACTGGTAAGCATCCAGGTGTGTTGAAAGATGATGTTACTTCACCTGGCGGCACTACTATAGCTGGAGTTCATGAGCTGGAGAAAGGCTCTTTCCGTGCAACACTTATGAATGCTGTTGTTGCTGCAGCTAAGAGAAGCCGGGAGCTCTCACAAAGCTAAACTATATGTATCTAGCTGCTGCTATTGTTTCACCTTACACATTCATCAGAATAAGTGTTATGGCATTGCTTGTTTTTAGGTGAGAGGTTTACCCCACTTGTCTTCGATGGTAGAGGTGAAGATTATTTATCTAGACGTTGTATTGGTTCTGAACTCATACTTCGTTTTTACAATTTAATAAAAGTCACATTAGATCACTCAGTTAAAAGCCTCTGACATGATTCTGATTCTTTTTTGTAAGTGACAACGAATCCACGATGAATTGACTTAACTAAGAATCTAAAACATGAGTATGAATCTTCCAAGATAATCCGATAAGGAAGAAGCATATCTATAAGCACTGTAGATAATGATGCGAAGAATGGACTCTGAATCTTCCAATCCAAGACACCGACCAATTTGAATAAAACCAAAAGCCTCAGGCTATCTTACCAAATCTTGGTATAGATATATACACATAAAAGAAAAAAGTACTGGTGAAGACTGAAGAGACCCCACAAAAAGAAAAAATAACAGAGAAAGAAACCAAGATTTTTAACCAAACAGCCTTCACACTCTTTCGCTGTCCATAATTTGCCAATTTGGTAGATCATGCCCGGAGAATACCATGTTCACCGTATGATTCGTAGCAAACGGTTTTTAAAAAAATTGTAGTAGAAAAAGGTTTTATGACTGAGCTGACGAGGATGGACCTGCAGTAACCAAACCTTCCCGAGCAGTCACAGTCGCAACATTAGTGACACGAAGCACGGCTTGTGCGCTTAGAGCCGAGAGTTTTGACTGGCAGAAGATTTCCCAAGTAACTGGCTCTAGAATTTGCTCCTCTTCTGGAGATGATGATGTTGATGTCTCAGGGTTGGTGAGGGGATTAAGTTTTTCATACACAGTCTGAAGTTCTAGTAGCACGGTCCGTGCGGCCTCACGTGATTCAGGGAGCTGATCACTAAGCTGAGATGCAGCTGCTTGAACCAATTTGTCAATTCCATATTCTTTAATACCTTCAACTCCCTGGAATATGTATTATAGCGCAAACTTGTTGGAAATATTACATAACATGCAATGCCTTTGTCAGAGATATAATTGGGAAGAACAGAAGTTGAACTTACCAGTCTAGGAACACTTCGAGAGAAGCATAATGATGCTTTTGCTCGGATCCGAGGATTCCTGTGCTTGAGACAAGGTTGCAGCTTTGGTAACAGCAAGGTTGGGGAAACATACTTCGTCATTGAGATTAACGCTTTGTCTGCCGCCTCGCATACAAACCGTTTGTCTTGGGAAGACTTGAGAACACTTCGAATGTTCAGTGAGAGTTAGTGAACATAGTCCTCATTGGTTTTTAACCACATGCGTATTTGTGTTAACTCAATTGTATGGACTCGATGGTTCCAACTTCCAAATCCCAATATAAAGACACAAAAGACATACTGTATGAATAAAGAGCATGTTCAATTTTGCCTAAAAGGAAAGTGTTCTTGTACTAAAGTCTCATTATATTATCCTAAAGGGAAAAGCTTACCCAGTTAGATAAAGAAACATAAGAGCTTCTGTGCTTTATCGTAATTTAGCAAAACCTGTCAAGACAATTAAAATTGCAAAAATGAAAAAGCCATATGAATTGACGTGTAACTAAAGATAAGTAGATATCTCAGTGACTAAATACATACATATTAAGACATCGTTAGATTTGATACTGATTTTTATTTATTTTTTTGCTGTAAACGAGGTTCCAGTGAAAAATAATTATTTGGCAATTTAAAACTAAAAAAGAAAAGCCTAATTAATGAATCGGCCTGATCAGCCACACCTGGTAACACCGGCAATGGTCTAGGACATTACGACAATGTTTGTATCAATTTTATAGAATGGAACGTGGGTCCAAATTTGATATCAATAATTTATTTTCTTGACAACTATTATCAATCCCATAATATTATGCGCATACTAAAACCATATAATATGATAACTACATTTTATTTTTTCTCTACATGGGGACTATGGGAGAAGAGGGTGGGATGCTAATCATTCAATTTGGCATCTGATCATTAACAGTGGTTGGATATGGTGACAGCCAACTTCTCCTTCCTTTTTTTCTTTTCTTTTCTAAATTTAACCTTAATTCTGCACTATAGAATATGAAATTTACTTTTGTAATTATCTTTTACAAGACTGCTAGTATGAACCTTCTTGTCTTGCTATTACTACTTCATCTCGAATTTAGACATTATCTCTCACTAATCGAAACTTAATCATACAAATTGATTGCAGTTCATTATTACACGGATCTGACCCGATTGGAAATTAATTCCCTACATAGTGAAGTACGATATTGGATAGTTAAAGCTCTTAGACCTACCATGTATTTCTGTGTTATTCATCCATAATTCGTAGAAATTTAAAGTCATTCTTATCAACATTTCCGAGAAAAAAAGAAAAAAAAAACCGTTATGCTTATTACTAAAAGATCTCAAGAAAAAATGTAAATAAAAATAAATATTTCTTTAGGGAAAAAACTAAAATCATTTCCAAAAAGATTATGCTAAATTACAACAACAGTTGATGATGAGATTGATGTTAGTTTTTGGCGCTGGAGGGTCATAATAAAAAATCCAATCATATAACTTTTATTTATGTCAAGAAGAAACACAATAATCGCTCAAAATGAAAATCATAATAATAGCAACAAGAGATTTTTTATTTTATTTTTGGAAATAAATATATATATATATATTTTTTTTTGGGGTAAATTTTGGAAATAAATATATTTAGTCAAGACTAGAGGGATCATTATTTTTGGGAATAAATGTGAACACATATAGAAAGAAAAAGAAAAACATTAATTTCAACCGCGAGGCAATTGCATATGGTAACTAGAAACCGACAAATAAAATCCTGTGCACATACTCATAGGTCCCCTCACCACTCATAATACGGCACCGTTTTTGAGGAATTCACATACATACGAGAATACGACGTCGTCGTCTCCTCAAAACCACACCATATGAATACGACTCCGTGAAAGTGCATCATATACACTGACTGCATCGCCGGTTAATTCGTCTTCTACAAAATTAAATCACAAAAAAAGTCTCTCTCTCTCTCTCTCTCTCTTTTCTCTCGCATTTCAAAATTTCATTTCCTTAATATAGATAGATAGATTCCTAAGGTCGGCGATTTTTTGTGAGTCCACAAATTTTCGCTATTCCGCCGTCAGTTTTGTTTCAACTCTCAGAGCCTGCTTCGTTTTCGCCGGTAAATTTCTTTAGCTCACTCTCATCTTTTTGTAAACGCATTTGCAGATTTTTGAACTTTTTTCGGTTAATATCATTCGATCTCTGTTCTTTGAGAGAATTAGTCAGCCGGTGAGAGTTAATCTGAGTCGGATTTGGAGACTAATTGAGATCTTCTGAGAGTTCTTTGTGTGAGATCGTGTTTTCGTTTTGTCGCTATTGTTAAAATGCTTGGGAATTTGAGTTCGAAATGTAGATCTATGATATGTTTCGTTTTCTTTTTGCTGTTGAATTGGTCCGCTTTGATGTTGACAAGTAGCGTTTACTCTCAGATTTTCTGCTTCTCTAAGTGATGACACTTTATTCGCTGTTCTTCTTTTCAGATTCTTTTGGTGTCTTTATCTCTACATTTGCTTCGCAATCGCTTCAGCTGATTAGTCTTAAGGCTTTAACTATCTTGTTATTTCGACTATTCTGTCTGGCTTTAGATTTTTGAACTCATCGAGATCTGATTGCAATTTCTAAAGATCCATTGCTATGTGATGAGTTTGAAACTGATTTGAGTTTCTCATTTTAGGCTCAGTGTTACATTTTCACGAATATTCAGTATCCTTCTCAGCTGTTAATGGTAGTAAATTTGAGGATTTGTTGGATATGTAGATTTGATTCTGCTTTTGGTACTCATTGTTTTGATTTAGATTTCGTCCTGCAGTGTAATATCCATGCTATTCTCTATACCTGTTTGTATATTGTTTCAGTGGTGATTTATTAAATCTGTTTACACGCAGGTAACCTTCACGTATGGCCAGTAATACTTTAAAAGATATGAATAGTCTTCATGTAACTGAGAAGATTAGTGATTGTAAAGCAAGCTTAACTAAGCCTTGTGTTGGCAAGATGAATGGAAAATCTGAAGATAGGCCATTACCAAACTCTGCCTCCTTGGATTCCAGTGATCCTAAAGTTGTAGAAGCGGAGAAACCCGAGCCTCAGATAGCTATTGTGGAAGTTGAATATACTGAATCTGAAAATTTGGATAATGTTGAAGATGCTGATGCAGTTCTCAAGGTACTTTTTTCTGTTTGTGCCTTTGTATTGTGGTTACACCAATTCCCGTTAGTATTAGTATGCCCAAAAATTGTGATGAAATTGTTATAGCCCTCTATTCGGAGATTGGAAATATGATTTTTTACACCAAGAAGGATCTGTTTGGTCTTATTTTTTTCAGTCGGTTTTAGCTGGACTCGAGTCCAAGGATTGGATTTCAGTTTGTGATGCTCTTAATAATGTTCGTCGGCTTTCGATATTCCACAAGGAAGTAATGCTGGATATGCTGTAAGCCATGTTCTCTATGTTGATGTCTCTGACTAATTATCTCTTAAATATATTGGAAATTGAAAGTCTCATGATATCCCATTGACAGTGAAAAAGTGATACCACTTGTCGTGAAGTCACTGAAAAATCCAAGAAGTGCAGTATGTAAAACGGCATGCATGACATCTGCAGACATTTTCAGTGCATATAATAATCACATAACAGATCTGTTGGAGCCTCTGGTAACTCCTCTATCTTCTTTTACTCCTTCACTGTGTTTTCTAATTGATTTTTACTTGTTCTTATACACTTAATTACGTTATGCTTTCAGCTTACTCAACTTCTTCTCAAGTCTTCCCAAGACAAACGGTTTGTATGCGAGGCGGCAGACAAAGCGTTAATCTCAATGACGAAATATGTTTCCCCAACCATGCTGTTACCAAAGCTGCAACCTTGTCTCAAGCACAGGAATCCTCGGATCCGAGCAAAAGCATCATTATGCTTCTCTCGAAGTGTTCCTAGACTGGTAAGTTCAACTTCTGTTCTTCCCAGTTATATCTCTGACAAAGGCATTGCATGTTATGTAATATTTCCAACAAGTTTGCGCTATAATACATATTCCAGGGCGTTGAAGGTATTAAAGAATATGGAATTGACAAATTAGTTCAAGCAGCTGCATCTCAGCTTAGTGATCAGCTCCCTGAATCACGTGAGGCCGCACGGACCGTGCTACTAGAACTTCAGACTGTGTATGAAAAACTTAATCCCCTCACCAACCCTGAGACATCAACATCATCATCTCCAGAAGAGGAGCAAATTCTAGAGCCAGTTACTTGGGAAATCTTCTGCCAGTCAAAACTCTCGGCTCTAAGCGCACAAGCCGTGCTTCGTGTCACTAATGTTGCGACTGTGACTGCTCGGGAAAGTTTGGTGACTGCAGGTCCATCATCGTCAGCTCAGTCATAAAACCTTTTCTACTACAATTTTTTTTAAAACCGTTTGCTACGAATCATACGGTGAACATGGTATTCCCCGGGCATGATCTACCAAATTGGCAAATTATGGACCGCGAAAGAGAGTGAAGGCTGTTTGGTTAAAAATCTTGGTTTCTTTCTCTGTGATTTTTTCTTTTTGTGGGTTCTCTTCAGTCTTCACCAGTACCTTTTTCTTTTATGTGTATATATCTATACCAAGATTTGGTAAGATAGCGTGAAGCTTTTGGTTTTATTCAAATTGGTCGGTGTCTTGGATTGGAAGATTCAGAGTCCATTCTTCACATCATTATCTACAGTACTTATAGATATGCTTCTTCCTTATCGGATTATCTTGGAAGATTCATACTCATGTTTTAGATTCTTAGTTAAGTCAATTCATCGTGGATTCGTTGTCACTTACAAAAAAGAATCAGAATCATGTCAGAGGCTTTTAACTGAGTGATCTAATGTGACTTTTATTAAATTGTAAAAACGAAGTATGAGTTCAGAACCAATACAACGTCTAGATAAATAATCTTCACCTCTACCATCGAAGACAAGTGGGGTAAACCTCTCACCTAAAAACAAGCAATGCCATAACACTTATTCTGATGAATGTGTAAGGTGAAACAATAGCAGCAGCTAGATACATATAGTTTAGCTTTGTGAGAGCTCCCGGCTTCTCTTAGCTGCAGCAACAACAGCATTCATAAGTGTTGCACGGAAAGAGCCTTTCTCCAGCTCATGAACTCCAGCTATAGTAGTGCCGCCAGGTGAAGTAACATCATCTTTCAACACACCTGGATGCTTACCAGTTTTGCTCACCATTGTTGCAGCTCCAAGAACCTGTCAAGCAATAGAAAATCGCACAAAGCTGAGGCTTCTCTTTCTACTTTCGGTTATTCCATACCATTGTAAGAAGCGATGTGGGTTGGTTCACTAACAGTTTGTGATGCTAAACCCAATGCGAGTTTTCGTGGTAGACCAGCAGCTACTCCTTCTCAAGTAATTAACTCTTTTAATTGTCTTGACAGGTTTTGCTAAATTACGATAAAGCACAGAAGCTCTTTTATGTTTCTTTATCTAACTGGGTAAGCTTTTCCCTTTAGGATAATATAATGAGACTTTAGTACAAGAACACTTTCCTTTTAGGCAAAATTGAACATGCCCTTTATTCATGTCTTTTGTGTCTTTATATTGGGATTTGGAAGTTGGAACCATCGAGTCCATACAATTGAGTTTGAACAAATACGCATGTGGTTAAAAACCAATGAGGACTATGTTCACAAACTCTCACTGAACATTCGAAGTGTCCTCTCCTGTTATTGTGCTTCTGGAAATAACATAAACCAAACGAAAAGATGACCAAGTTACTTTTATTTTATTTGTTTTCTTGAACGCTGAGGTCCTTTCTCATCATCTTCCACTCTCACCTCATCAAAACCTTACCGGTACTGAGGAGCAAGTTCACCGTCCTTGACGATGTAATTCTCAGCAGGGAAGTCCTCTCCCTTGAAGTACCTCTCCAACATGTCTTTCGTACCAGCCGCATATCGTAGCTAGATGATTAAAAGAAAACCAAATGGTTAAGTTCCAAATGAATAAGCTACTATTAAACATAAAAAGTACTTTAGAATTTGGATAACACAACATATTATGATTCGTTTAACTTATCATTTTCTCAAAGCAACTTATGTATGTTATATTTGTTAATGTTGAAAAGGAAAATAATATTACCTGGGCGTCGATGGTGGTGCCGGAGATGTGAGGAGTCATGGCCTGGTTAGGCATGTAACGCCATGGATGGTCCTTAGGAGCTGGCTGTGGGTCCCACACGTCTCCGCTGTACCCTCCAATGTGTCCACTCTCAACGGCCTCAACCACTGCTTGCCTCTCCATGATGGCTCCTCTTGCGTTGTTCACTATCAAAACGCCTTTCTTCATTTTCCCTATCAGCTCTCTGTTGAACATTCCTCTGTATAAACAACAACACATTGGTCAAATTCAAATCTCAGACAACAAGTCTTGTCGTAATTTTCGTCTGTATAGTTTGTGATATAATTAGCATCGTAAGTACCTTGTCTTCTCAGTGAGAGGCGTGTTGACGACTACAACGTCGCATTTAGGGAGCATTTCGTTCATATCTTCAACGTACTTAGCTCCAATCTCTTTCTCCAGCTCAGGTGCCATCTGAAGCCGGTCATGGTACAATAAGTTACACCCGAATGGTTTCAGCCGTTGTAGCAAAAGCTTTCCGATTCTTCCAGCTCCCACAGTTCCAATCGTCTTCCCTTCCAGATCATAAGCTCTATAAGAAATGCTGGCGACGTTCCACTCGCCATTGACGACCTGGTTGTACCCTGGTACGAAGTTTCGCATGAGGATAAGGATTCTCATGAGCTCATCTTCTGCTACTGAGACCGTGTTGCTTCCCGTGACTTCAGCCACAGTCAGGCCAGCAGCTGCAGCTGCCTGGAGATCAATGTGATCCGAGCCAATACCAGCCGTGAGAAGAAGCTTCAGGTTCTTGGCTTTCTTGATTCTCTCAGCAGTCACATATGCCGGGTGGAAAGGAGTGGATATTAGGACGTGAAGATCCGGGATATGTTTCTCAAGTTCTGCCATTTGTAAGTAAAGTTAAAGGGGCATCAAAAGAACCAGAGATTTGCATTTATAGTTTATGCTATGCAATATATAAAAGATATCAAGAGATTTCAAGTAAATTGAAGATTGGAGGAACACTTACCACAGTCAGGGCCTTCTTTGTCATCAGTGACAATGTACTGATGTCCTTGAGATTCAAGCCAGTTTCGAATTCCTAAGGCATTCTCGACGCAACCAAGGAAGTTAGGGTTCTTGGTAGCGTATTCGTTGGCCTTGTAGAAAACTCCAACAATCTTTTTGCTATCACCAGAAGATGCCTGTGTCATATATAAGCCACTTCAGGAAGCTGTTTAAAAATTTGAGAGACCACGTCCTAATAAGACATCAATATACAGATTATAGGCCCATTAAGAGCCCAACTAGAGAGCCAACTTATACATCGTGCCGTTTAATAATTCTAAAAAGACAAACCTTGTAGTCTTTTTGTTCCAAAATGGAAATTTAGCTGGCCTAATCAGAAACTACAGTTGTGCTTTTGCTAATTTAAGTCACACGTTTCAGTCATGCACAGTCTTCGATCATATCGCTTCAAAACGAGATAATCAAAACCAAATTCGTATCCACTCACTTTTACTAAAATCATACAGCCAAAGATCTAAAAACCTCTAAACTGCCATCACGCACACACACAATCAGAACCATAACCCACTGCAAAAGAAAATAGCATAAAAAAAAAAGATAGCATATATCTACACCCGTAAAATCAAGTTCGATTGAGCACGATATCTCCAGAAATAACTTGATGACTAGCTTACAACCTAGAGATCATGAGAGAGAGAGAGAGAGAGAGAGAGAGAGAGAGAGAAGGAGAGAGAGAAGGAGAGAGTTCTTACAGTAAACTGACGTCTAGCAAAGTAACCTGAAGAGGAAGAGGAAGAACAGGCTTGGATCGCAGCCTTAGTGACTTGTCGCAACGCCATAGATGAGAGGAAAGGAGATTAAAAATATCTATTTGGTTACTTCTACGATCGATTTTGTTTCTGTGTGAAATCACCAATTGGGACAAGAAAAGATTTATAAAGGACGAAATGTTGTTCACGCACCTGCACCAGACCAGCTACACTGTGCCACGTGTTTGCCGGCTCTTATAGACATCATCGGTATTATCTCGTACTAATGTTATTTCTCAAGTATAATACAATTGAATTCTCAAGATACTGTATTACTGTATTACCTAACTCTATGCGCATTAACCTGATTCTCAAACATATTTATCCACAACTCTTTATTTTCCTTGTTTTAAAAAATATCCTACTACATTGTCTACTTTTAATTATTCTTTTCCTTTTCGATTGATTCCTATCCATCATATTTTCTCACACTGGCAAATCCATTTTTACCAAATTTTCTATGGCACAAAGTACTAAATATTTCAGTTAAATCCTTTTTCTTAACTGAGCCAAGTAAAATTTATAACGTGATATATACTACATACGGTATTAGTATATGTATTTTACAAAGTTTTTAACAAGTATAAAAATTATTAAATTTATATTAATATCTAAAAATGCAATAATGATAGTACCTACTTGTTTGTTAACGTGATATGTTTTGGATAAGTCTTGTGATATAGCATCGCATTATTACTACTCTAATCTATATGTGAAAGCTTAGTTTAAATCTAACCCAAAACAGGCCCATACATATAGGCCCCAATTTTTAATTTCTGAGTCTCCTAAACGACAGCGTGTTGATGAACTTAAACCTCGTCGTCGAGCTTCAAAACTCTTTTCTCAGTTCGTCTGGAAACGAAACGATGCGTCGTCACAAGCAGACGCCATGAGAGCTTGCAGGAGTCTCTGGAGAAATTTGGAGATTTAGATGAGCTCCAATCGATCTGCTGATGATAATGATCAGGATTTGGAATAACTATACGGCAAAATACAGATTCCTTCTCTCAAATTACCGCTCTTTCTCGTCAATCAAACGACCCCAAATCCCTGGAAGCCAAGAGACTTGCTTCCTGATCACAGAACGCAGATTCAGACCAGCTTCAGCTCCTAACAAGAAAAGGGTTTACGTCTCTCTCTTTTGCACACTCTTTCAGCTCTATTTAAGCTGCGGGAGGCTTTACGGAGCAGCAAGGACGCTCTCTGCGATGTGCAACTTTGGTGTTGTTCCGGATTTACGTCTCTGGAACAGTATGATTCACCATTTCAGTGTCAATGGTCTGGTACACGACCAGGTATCGTTGATTTACAGCAAGATGATAACTTGTGGAGTTTCTCCCGATGTTTTTGCTCTCAATGTGTTGATTCATTCGTTGTGCAAAGTTGGCCAGTTAAGATTTGCGATTAGTTTACTTAGAAATAGAGTAATAAGCGTTGATACTGCAACCTATAACACTGTGATTTCGGGTTTATGTGAACATGGTTTGGTTGACGAGGCTTATCACTTTCTATCTGAAATGGTGAAGAAAGGTGTAATGCCTGATACGGTTAGCTACAATACTCTGATTGATGGGTTTTGTAAAGTTGGAAACTTTGCTAGAGCTAAGGCTTTAGTTGACGAATTCTCGGAACTAAACCTTATCACTCATACTATACTCATAAGCTCTTACTACAATCTACATGCCATTGAAGAAGCATACAGGGATATGGTTATGAGTGGGTTTGATCCGGATGTGGTTACTCTTAGTTCCATTGTTAAACGTTTGTGCAAAGACGGAAAAATGATGGAAGCGGGATTGTTACTGAGGGAAATGGAGGAGATGGGTGTATATCCGAACCATGTAACTTATACTACTCTTGTTGACTCGTTATTTAAAGCAAAAACTTACCGTCATGCTTTGGCTCTTTACAGTCAAATGGTTGTGCGTGGGATTCCTGTAGATTTAGTTGTATATACTGTTTTGATGGATGGTCTATTTAAGGTTGGAGACCTTAGGGAGGCTGAGAAAACATTTAAGATGCTTTTGGAAGATAACCAAGTTCCAAATGTGGTTACATATACGGCTTTGCTAGATGGGTTGTGCAAAGCAGGGGATTTAAGCAGTGCAGAATTTATCATAACGCAGATGTTAGAGAAAGGTGTTCTTCCGAATGTTGTAACCTACTCTAGTATGATAAACGGATATGTAAAGAAAGGGATGCTCGAAGAAGCTATTAGTCTTATGAGAAAAATGGAGGACCAAAATGTTGTGCCGAATGGTTTTACTTATGGTACAGTGATTGATGGCTTGTTTAAGGCAGGGAAAGAAGAAGTTGCTATTGAAATGAGTAAGGAGATGAGGCTGATTGGGGTGGAGGAAAACAACTACGTACTTGATGCTCTGGTGAATCACTTAAAGAGAATTGGTAGGACTAAGGAAGTTAAGGGATTAGTCAAAGACATGGTGTCTAAAGGAGTGATGCTGGATCATATCAACTACACATCTTTAATTGATGTTTTCTTCAAAGGAGGAGACGAAGAAGCCGCTCTTGCTTGGGCTGAAGAAATGCAAGAGAAAGGGATGCCATGGGATGTTGTTTCTTACAATGTCTTAATCAGTGGACTGTTAAAGTTTGGCAAAGTCGGAGCAGACTGGGCCTACAAAGGAATGAGAGAGAAGGGTATAGAACCAGATATCGCTACATTTAACATAATGATGAATTCACTACAAAAGCAAGGGGATTTCGAAGGTATCCTTAAGCTTTGGGGTAATATGAAGAGTTGTGGAATAAAACCGAGTCTGATGAGTTGCAATATTTTGGTTGGAATGCTATGTGAAAAGGGCAAAATGGACGAAGCAATTGACATATTGAAGGAAATGATGTTTATGGAGATCCATCCTAACTTAACAGCATACCAAATTTTTCTCGACACATCTTCAAGGCATAAAAGAGCTGATGCTATATTTGAAATGCATGATACACTCTTGAGTTATGGAACTAAACTCACTAGGCAAGTTTACAACACTCTTGTTTCAACTCTGTGCAAACTAGGTATGACGAAAAAGGCAGCTACGGTTATGGAGAATATGAAAGAGAGAGGCTTTGTTCCTGATACTGTGACGTTCAATGCCCTTATGCATGGGTACTTTGTGGGCAGTCATGTAGGAAAAGCTCTTTCGACATATTCCGTTATGTTGGAAGCAGGAATATCCCCGAATGTTGCAACCTATAATACTATAATAAGAGGTCTCTCTGATGCTGGGCTAATGAAAGAAGTGGACAAATGGCTGAGTGAGATGAAGAGTAGAGGTATGCGCCCTGACAATTTTACATACAATGCTTTAATTTCTGGTCAAGCTAAGATAGGGAATAAGAAAGAAAGTATGACCATATATTGTGAGATGATTGCGGATGGGTTGGTACCAAACACCAGCACTTATAATGTGCTTATCAGTGAATTTGCAAACGTTGGGAAGATGCTTCAGGCAAGAGAGCTAATGAAGGAGATGGGTAAGAGAGGAGTCATCCCCAACACTTCGACTTATTGTACTATGATATCAGGTTTGTGCAAACTTTGCACTCATCCAGAAGTTGAGTGGAATAGAAAAGCAATGTACTTGGCAGAGGCAAAAGGACTGCTAAAAGAGATGATCGAAGAGAAGGGATATATTCCGTGTAATCAAACTATTTACTGGATAAGTGCTGCTTTTTCTAAACCTGGAATGAAGGTTGATGCTGAAAGATTCTTAAAGGAGTGTTACAGGAAAAGGAATGCTCGTTTGTCAAATTCTTGAACTTGGGGTAATTCTGTTTCATCCTTCTAATCCTAATCTCGCAGTTGCAACTTTGTTACTCAAATGGTGTATTTTTTCTCAGATATAATTAGGAGATTTGGCTCAAAACAGGACATCTAAGCAATTGTGAATTCTGCAATTGGGTTAGTGCTGGTGAGATTATGGCATCATACTTTTTGAAATTTTTTTTTGGGACATCTTTAGCGAAAACTATTTTGAGAATATTCATTGAATTTATTGTAGCAAAAACGGGACTGGCAGCTGCAGAGTAGGCAAGACTATTGATGTAGCTGGTTTCTGGATGGAACAAGTAACTAGGCGGCATTGAAAAAGAAATCTCAGCTACTTAATGGATTTGCCTTTGTTCAGCCTGCTATCGCATTCTGGTCGAGATAAAGAAGACAGGAAAAATGAATTCATGTTTGGTTTGGAATGGATGCCATACCCGAGCTTGGAGCTCGTGAGTTCCTCAAGAGAAGGATGGAAGCTTCTGGAATGGTTTACTCTAAAGAAAGAAACGGAGTGTATGGAGTCAGTACAAGTCGGTTCTCAATCCTGCTCTGTCCTTTGGAAATCCACATACACACTACAAGTTTGTTTCTTTTTGTGCAGAAAGTCATCAATAAACCATAGCAAAGGAATTGAAAGATGAATTGTCACGATGATTATTTATCTCAGTGAGATAATTTTTATTTCTTTTGTTGTATTACATAGTGTCAGAACTAGAGATCGCTTTTGAGTTCAAAAATTGTCAATTTGTATAAGAAATGATTGGCTTCATCAAATAATAACAAAACTCCTGCAGTTTTTAACAATCAATAAGTGAGCTGCTGCTGCTTATATTCTGTAACCGCCTTGAGCTCCAACTAGCTGTTGTAGGAGAAGACGGGAGAATAATTGTCGGAATGCGCTTGCTTTCTTCCACAAAAGGAAAGTCTGTCATGTAATGAAGACCACGGCTTTCATGTCTGGCTAGCGCACTGCTCACTACAAGCTTAGCACAACAGAATAAGTTTCTCATCTCACAAGCTTCAAGAGCTACCAATGTTTGTTCCCATCCATGTACAAACATAAACGTTTCCCATTTCGCTTCTAGCTCTGCGATTTTCCTCTCAGCCGTGTTGAGCCGAATGGTCGATCTGACGATACCAACATACTTCCACATCACTTCCTGAAGCTCTCTTCTCACTTCTTTCGTCAAAGCTATAATCTTTGATAGTACTTCATCTCCTAGCGATCTAGCTGTGGCAACAACAGGCCTTGTCCATTTCTCTGATGCGCTTAGATCAAGTTTTGTGCGTTTCATGAGATCAGTTGAAGGCTGAACAGCTCGTCTCGCAAAAACCAGAGCTTCTAAAAGCG